TGCCGTGCCCGCACTGCAAAGACCGTATCACCGTATGCCCGGGCCTAGTTGAGCTCCCACCAGGTCCAGGTGTACAAGGCCGCCAGGGATGTTTCCCATGTCGTTGATTCGTGCTCGTGCATGTGCCCGTCATGGTTGGGATGCTCTTCGGCATGGTCCGCATGGAGCATCTATGTGCTCTCCTTCTTGAGCAGTTCCATCGGAGCGGCGTCTCGTTCCTTCCCGATCTTACACAGAGACTGTATACTGTATCTATATGTGAATCATACATGACACAGAGTAATGAGTATGAAGGTATCCGTGTATACAGTATGCGTTCCACTCAACGCGATGACCCAACAACCTCTCAGACTGGCAAGTAATGAATGAGGTTGCTTTGCCCCAAGTATCAAGTCCGCATCTAAGCGCAAATGGTAAGATCGTGCGGGTTATGGTTATGTTGCCAGTGGATAAGGGATAAGTGATGATGGATCTAACCCATTCAAAGTTGATTCGGAGTTGAATCAGTCGGATAAAAACATTGTACTTTCTCATCTACTCGAGTACGACAACGAAAGCCTTCAATGGTCCGTGGATCAGCGTATCGAGCGATTTGGGGTTGAGGTTGGGGGTGCAGGTGCACAGGTGCAGGCACGACACTACAATTCCGAATCAGGGGAAACGGTGAGCACTAGCCACTGGAGGGCATGTGAAGAACCGCCTTCGGCGGGAACCCCCTTGCTATGACCGATTTGCCCAAACTTTGCTTCGCTGCGGCAGCTGCCGCCAGCACGTGCTCGACTTTGTACAGCAGCGCCGTTCGGGCTTGCTGGGGATGTCGCCCATGATCTTCCCGGTTTTACTTTTGATCTTGCAACTTGTACTTTCTGTGCTTTCGAAAGTGACAGAGTAACCGGCGGCGGCGATACGACTAACCAGGACAACGGTTAGTCCCATATCAGGTGCGTACAATGTGTCTTAGACAGTGATGGTGGTAGATGACGCATTGACGCGCCATTAGGGACATCGATCTTCAGATCGCCGGCACCGATGGCATGGAAAACACGGCTTTTGGCTGCTGTGATAGGGTGTGGTGGAGTGGAGGTTGGTGAAACGATGGGAGAAGGGTGACATGTGTCGATGGGCCAGAGCCGTACAACTCGACTTCAGGCTTTGAGGTGAGTGCTGCATTATCCGTTAGTGCTGATAAGGTGTTATAGGACTTGCCCTCGTCGCAGGCATCATCTGCATCCATGATCGTGGCCCACGACTCGTCGTTTGTCTTTTTGGCTACAGCGTTTGCGCTGTCTCTCTTGGACTTCACTGAACCCATACTCGACTGCCCCAACAGATGGTATGTAGCCTAGTCGTGTCAAAGTCACCGCCCGACGTTTTTGTTGATCACATCTGATGATAGCTACCATACGTGCTTGGGACGCCTTATTCAAAGGAGATACCATGGATCTTCTTCTCATAGCCATCCCGATGTATCATACCTCGAAGAAGGAGACTTCATGCCGTGACTGCCAAGGCAGAACATTTACATCTCCTTTGACATATGTACCCCGTTATAATATCCATGCCAAGTTGATCCACCCTTGGCACGGAAGTCATAATGGTGATTACAGTTGTAAGGGGGGCGCTGCGCTCTCACAGACCGCTCCGACGCGTGCTGTTCCACACTCTGAGCCTTCTGGAGCACCGTAAGGATCCCTTCGGAGCCACATTTGGAACGGGACGAACTTCCGTATCGGAGTGTCCATTCTCACGTGTTCATGTTGATTTTTTCTTTTCTCCTCTTGCTCCTCTTTCTTCTCTTATCTCGTGTCATCCTCACCGCCTCGCGCTCGACAACAAGACATCCCTCAAGCTGCGGCACAAGACAAGACATGTGTTCCAATCACACTCTCGCTCTCGTCGCTTCCCCTCCTTCAACTTTCCTTTCTCTTACACCTACCCATCTCGCGTCCTAGAACAACGCTTACCAACTCAAACCGCCATCATGCAGCAGCCACACGCCCTCATTATCTATGTATTATAGTCTTTCCTTTGTTCCTTGCACCCTCTCTGTTCAATCTCCATCGCTGGCACCCCCGGGTCGCCCTACCATCCAAAACCTAGACCTAGCTGAATCCTGTATTTAAGTAAGATAGGACTCGCTCATACTCAGGGTCATCACATGACCTAGGCCTAATAGATTGTTGATTTCTCTATTGACGGAGTTTGGTTGAGATAAGGCTCTATTCCTCCTAGCATTACATGAAAATACCCTATAGCAGTAGGGTCATCAACTCAGAACATTTATTTTTGAAGAATCTGGCAAGGAGTAGGGTTTGCAGTGGTGAATTTGCCGTGGTTACCAGTTTAGTGACTGATGTGACGCTTTGTGACTTTTGCCGTGCTGGCAAACGGCCGTGTCAGAATAACAGAGGTTGCTGGATGTGTAATCCATCATGTGGTCCGGATAGCCCAGTTGAAATATCAGGATATAACGTGCACCCGAAGTTGGTGGGATTCAAGGCCCGGTGGCTCAGTGGTTAGAGTACTTAGCATATATCTGGGGAAGTGGGGTGGACCTGGGTTCAAATCCCGGGATGGTCACTTTCTTTTTTGCTGGTTTGTCACACCAGACAGCTCGGGCCGAGACAACCGTGGTTTCTCAACCACTGCAAAGCCTACTCGTTGTTCATTTCTTCGAATTAAAATGTGATTATTAGATACAAATATAACTATCAGTGGAATGCTCAAACTGCTAGGAGGATTTGAGACCAGATTGCACACGAAATGAGCTATGTGTAAAATACAACAAAAAGTCACACCAAGTCATGTGATGACCCCGAGTATGAACGAGTCCTATCTTATGTGAGGACAGACTCCTTCAATCTAGTTTGGTTTTTCTCAGTTCAGCTTTTGTTTGCCTTGCCCACGTGCCCTTTTGTTTTCCCTCTGCCTGCTGTTCTATGACCCGAACAACGCTGGCCAGTTGAGCCGCTGTCACATTATTATCTGGTCGATTGCTTGATGTTTTCTGGTTATTGAACATTGTTCGAACCTGAACCGGACCTGAACCCAGGTCCAGGTTCAGGTTCACCAATTTGCCAGAACCGAACATTTAGGTTCGGTCCAGGTTCAGGCCCAAGCCACCTGAACCCGGACCGGACCGGACCCCGGCCAGTCTAGGAGGAAACGAGAAATCATGGTCTTTGCATACACCCACCCTTCCGCGGGACACCCAGGACGAGACGAGACAATCCGGAAAGCAAAGCAGATCCAACCATGGCCTGGAATGACCACCTGGATCACGGACTACGTCAAAGGCTGTGCAACGTGTCAGCAGAACAAAATCCTGACGCACAAACCGAAAACCCCACTGTACCGCATCACCACCGAAGAAGGGACCCTACCCTTCCAAAGAATAGCCATGGACTTAATCACGGGACTACCAAGACACAAAGGGAAAGACGCCATCCTTACCATCGTGGACCATGGATGCTCAAGAGCCGCGATATTCCTCCCTTGCTCGACCACGATCACTGGACCTGAAATTGCACAATTATACATGGACCATGTGTATCGATGGTTCGGACTCCCCACCAAAGTAATCAGCGACCAAGACCCACGATTCACATCCCATTTCGGCAAAGCGCTCAGCCAGAAACTAGGTATCCAGCAGAACCTATCAAGGGCGTTCCATCCCCAAACAGACGGCCTCTCTGAAAGGAAGAATCAATGGATCGAGCAATATCTCAGATTGGTTACATCTGCATCACCGGAGGATTGGACCCACTGGCTGGCTCTGGCCACCGCGGTGCATAACAATAGGAAGAACTCGACCACTGGCCTATCACCCAATCAGATCCTTCTGGGGTATGACCTGAGCTTGATACCTCTAGAAATACGATTTCAAACAATGATCTTGTGGAGAAACGCATGGAAACCTTGTTGGAAAGAAGGGCTCAAGCAATCGACGCTATCAACCAATCGGCCAAGCAGGATCAAGGGGGATATCGAAATACAAGATAGGTGACCAAGTCTGGCTAGAGGCAACCCACCTCAAACTCCGGCATCAAAAGACGAAACTTGCCCCAAAACGCTATGGCCCCTTTGCCGTCACAAAAGAAATCTCCTCGGTGGTGTATCAGATCAAATTACCAACTTCGTGGGGGATCCACAACGTATTCCATGCCTCCCTATTATCGCCCTATCACGAGACGACAACCTTTGGACCAAACTTCTCCCATCCCCCACCTGACCTTATTGGCGGAGAAGAGGAGTATGAAGTGGAGCGCATTCTAAACCACCAATGTCATGGAAGGTCTCAACAGCTCCAATACTTCATTAAATGGAAAGGATACCCTGAAAGTGACAATACATGGGAACCGCTGACCAAGTTCTTGCCCCGGAATACTTAAAGCCTATCACCGATCAATCCCCTCAAAGATAAAAGGAAGACGATTGCAGCGATCAACCCCATCCCCCTCTTTTCCTCCATCCACCTACCTCGGCCAACTTCTTCCCCATGTCTGCCCAAGAATCCTCCCACTCCTGCTGTGAAGACGACGGGGCAATCTCGGTCCCCTCAACTCCTCCTCCCGCCTCTGTCTCCCCCGCATCATTGGATCTCCTTCTCTGAGACGTTCCCAATCTCGATGTCGGCACACTTAGAGGGATACTGGGCGGAGCTATTGGCACCATGCGACAGAACCAGGAGGCCCACGACCGCGAAAAGATGCGGTTACACACCCAAATCGAGACCCTGGAGCGACACATCGAACACTACGAAATCCAACACCCCGAATGCCCGCAGGGGTATGAGGCCAATGTGGGGAGGGCTCCCTCGTTTTACATCCCGGGCCCCAGTAAGACTACCGTCCTCGTCAAATGGGTCAAGCAGCTCGACGACGGATGTGTGGCTGGGTTCGGCCAGCATCAAGCAGAAGGGGAGGCCCCGCATATCACGGAACTATTCCTCACCCCCTCCTATGATATTGAGGACCCGCCCGAGCCGCTGCTTGGGTGGTTCCGCAGCCTACTCATGGGGCCCTCCGGTCAGTTTAACCTCCTCTGTGAAGAAGTCGCCCAGCTCGACGACTGGAGCGCCCTGGCCGAGGTTCTCCACCACCGAGCCCTCACGGACCAGCTATGCGAGAAGCGGCATCAGCTCAAGATCCTCGACGTGCAGGTCGACGGGCTGCTGGAGCGACGCCACCTATGCGAGGCCCGCTTGGAAGCAGGGAAGGTCTCGACTCAGATGAAGTACCTCAAACACCTCGCCCCACGCGCCCCTCAGTTAGGGAAGCGTCAAGGGTCCAAGGAGGAGGCGTTTCAGGCTGGACGAGGTCGTCCAGTCTAAGGGGGAAGGTAATGTCACCGGCATCTGGGACGGCTTCGTGCCATGGACCGGAATAAGTTGGGCAACTGGGCACTCTTATTGTATTCATTGTCTTCTTGAAGGGGTACCGGCCTTGACGCCCTTAGTGGTACCTTGATTGCGTGCATCAGCAAAAGATCCATTTGCTTTTTTCCTCTTAATTTAGCTTGAAATGGCAAAATGTGGGAATATTGCAAATTCTATGTATTCATGACGTAGCCCTTTTTAATGCGATTCAAATGAGCCCTTAAGCATGCAAATTGGACAAGAATTGACTGAGTTATGCTTAAAACAAAAAACAAAAAAATATGGGCTTATTTAGCTTGAGAGCTCTTGGGATGCCAAAAAGCCATTTTAAGGACTTTTAAGCCATTTTCAAGCAGATGGATCTTTTGCTGATGTGATTCTCTCGCGTTATTGTTCTGGTAGCTTGTACCCCAGAACCTTATGTTGACTCAGCCCTAGGATCCCTGTAGTTGTATTAGTCACCCTTATGTCCTTAGTCGCATATAAGGGTCTGGACTTGCGCCTTGGAGAGGGCAAGTTGAGTCTCCTGTCTCAATACCACCCATTTGCCTAGTCTCTTCATAGAGGGGTCGCTCAGAAGCACTTGAGTCGGCCAGAACCCTCTGCTCAAAGGCAACTAAGTCGCTGAGGACTTAGCTTCACTCACACTATGATCGGGTCTTAGTGTCTCGTCAGCTTCGGCAGTGACATACAGTAACAATGAAAAATATATAGCTCCTACAATCGCTTCACGGGCCTCCTGAATCATTATCTATGGGCTCCTCAAACCTAGTCAATTGAAAATCCTCCAATCCAGACTTCTCCAGCACAAACCACAAACCAGGAGTCATCGTTCGGTAGTGGGGGTAGCGGCTGCATTAAAACTAGAAAAGTTGACGCAAAGCGTGTTAAGATTATGGATGCAAAGTGGGAGTGAAAAATCAGATTACATTCAAGGAGACGTCTGGAGCCCCTTATGTACCTACACTTTACAAGTACACTACCAACACTACCAGAATCTTGAGATATAAGTACAAGATCGAGTACAGTAATAGGAGACTTGTACAGTAAGACACGACGTCATACATACAAACCACAATGACATAAGCGGATTACATAATGCATACATCCTTTAGACGACGCGCTTGAAACACAGAACCCAGATAACTCGTCCTTGAGACGAGAAAGAGACACAATAACGAAGGATTACATTACATTTGATCAAGAGGCCGTTGCACAGTCAGAGGCCATGCCCATATAGGGCCTTTATTCCAACACACCCCTGCAAGCGCGACGTAAGCCAAGTGCAGAGGAATGTGTCCCTACCTTCCACTTAGGCAGGGCTTTTGTAAGCATGTCGGCCAGCATCTCTTTGGTAGGACAATAAACGAGGTTGATTACGCCTTTTGAGATAAGATCGCGAATGAAAAAATAACGATCGTCCAAATGTTTGGTGCGCACATGGTAATTCTCTGTCGTAGCTAGCTTGATCGCAGATTGATTGTCGCAATGGAGAGTCGTAGGCAAATTAAGGAGGTGAGGAAATAGCTGTTTGATTAACTTCTGAAGCCATTTTGCTTCCTTTGCTGCGTGCGTAGCTGCGACATATTCAGCTTCAGCTGTAGACAGAGTTACCAGCTCTTGTCTCTTCGCACTCCACGAAATAACGCCCCCATCGATAAGGAAACAATTACCAGCGATAGCACGTCGATCATCTTGAGTGCCACCATCCACGTCAGTATAGCCTTCAAGATCATGTTTCTCACCGCCATAAGTTAGTTCGATATCTTTAGCATGCTTCAAATAGCGGAAGATACGCTTGACAGCTTGCCAATGCGCATCGCTGGGATTATTGAGGAAGCGCGATAAGATTGAGACGGCAAAGGCTATATCTGGACGCGTAGCGACAGCGAGATACATCAGGCTGCCGATGGCTTGGCGATATGGGGTGCGCTGCATTCGTTCGGCTTCTTCACGACTAGAAGGTGAGTCCCTTTGAGAATAAATAATTCCCGGGACCATCGGAGAGCGATAGGGCTTCGCGTCAGTCATTGAGAAGCGAGATAGGATAGTGTCGACGAAGGATGCTTGAGACATAGAGATAGTGCGTGCTGAACGATCGCGCTTGATCTTGATTCCCAGAAGCCAGTGAACTGGTCCGAGATTGGTGAGAGCGTAGCAGTTGTTAAGTTTCTGCTTGTAAAGCGTAATCAATTCGCTTGAG